AACTTCAAACTGCATCCTCTACCCATCCACCCCAGAGTAAGGAAATAAAGAGATAGAGACTTCTCAGCCATTGACCAGTGATAATTTCAGAGCTTATGAAGAAAACCTTAAGGAAAGTATTTTTTGAAGTCTTGGAACTTCTGACATTAGTCCATCCCCTTAGTAAGCTTTATTCTCATAAACGTGGTTTTAGAAGGTTTTCTTTGGATTCCATCATCTCTCCATCTATTGTCCTTTGTCCTAAGCCAGCTGTGCTGTAATTGGCAGATTTACCCGTGCAAAACTCAATTCCCTCTACAACTCTTTCCCTCCTCACTGTGCTTATTTTTCCTAAATTCCTTCTTTTTCCACACTCATCCATGAGATGGATGATTGCTTTTTATCTGGGCAGTTCTTCTGAAAACAATGGCCTCAAAAAATTGAATAAAAATGTCTCTATGTTGGAGAAAAAATAAAAAAGAAATATTCTTTTGAATGGAAGATCTGAAAATTTCTTGGCCGTAATATTTCTTAAATTTATGCTAATTTTCTCCCTCCCCTAATACTTTCTTTCCATCACAAAAATACTTCATTTATTTATTTATTTATTGCTGGTGATTTAATTATCACTGTATCGCAGTCCCTTAATAGATGTGTTCACATCAAATTACTCAGTTTAATTCCTTCAGGTTTTTACTCCTTAAATTCTTCCATTCTGTTCCTTTCATGTAGTTTATGTAGACATGTTTATCTTTTTTAATATTCAGTTCCTGATTTATAGGTCTCAAACTCTTTTAGAAAATGTATATAAAATATAAATATAAAAAATAAAAGATCAGAAAACAGTTCTCTAAAACCCGCTGTCTATATAGAGTTTCTTTTGATCCCACTAGTCTGGCTTCTTTTTGATTTTGTAAAGGACAGAAATTTTGGTAATATCTTAAAGTCCTAAATTAAACAGAAGGGTGATCAATTGGTAAGTCATAATGAAATGATTGTCCCTGAACTCAGATTTATTTGCATTGGGGATCATAGCCTCTTTCCAACCTTCCTGCCATGTTTCTATGGCATCTGACTCCTTTTGCTTTCCACATATCCCCAAAGAATCAAGAGGGCACTAGGTGAGAGTTTAAATCAGGAGTCAAACATTTTCTGTAAAAGGCCACACAGTAAGAACTTTAGGCTTTGCTAATTGTGCGGTCTCTGTCATACTACTCAACCCTGTGCTTTGGTACAAAAGCAGCTATAGACAATATGTAAACAAATGGGGCTTTTTGCATTCCAATAAAACTTTATTTACAAAAATGGGCCATAGGTTGGATTTAGACAGTGGGCCATAGTTTGCTGACTCTTGAGTTAAAAGATAAGAGGACTCTGATATCTAAAAATATATACATTTGGGCTGCTATAGTTATGAATAGAGATTTTAGAGATACAGAGAGACACAGAAATACAAAAGAAAGGTCTTGAAATTTATCCATTAATTTAATATTATTGTTTAAGGGAATTCTCTAATTAAATAGAAATAATTTTGCCTTTGTATATTTTCTCTTCTGTGGTCTGTTAATATTTTACGCAAGAATTCTGTTTTAAAGAAAAGATTTGATACATTCATACTAAGGTGAGAAAGGCTAATTATCTTTCCCAAAGTCATTTGCAGTTTAACAGAGGCTAATGCTGCTTTCTATAATCTGGATCAGTGAAGGGGGAGGGAACTAACAAACTAACAGTTGTTTGGCACTTACTAGGTTCCAGTTCCTGGATGTCAATAACACCATTTTTTTTTTTAGATGGAGTCTTGCTCTGTCACCCAGGCTGGAATGCAGTGGTGTGATCTTGGCTCACTGCAACCTCCACCTCCCAGGTTCTCCTGCCTCAGCCCCCAAGTAGCTGGACTACAGGTGTGTGCCACCATGCCTGGCTAACTTTTTTATATTTTTAGTAGAAATGGGTTTTCACCATGTTAGCCAGGCTGGTCTCGAACTCCTGACCTCAGGCAATCTGCCCACCTCAGCCTTCCAAAGTGCTGGGATTACAGGCATGAACCATGGTGCCTGGCCCATGTCATATTCTTATTCTCAGTAACCCTGTGAGATACAAAATACTATGATGTCAACTTTAAAGATATGGAAACTGAGACTTAGAGTAATTGAGTAACTTGGTGAGAGACAATCAGTTGATAAGTTGCAGAACTGAAGCTCAATCCTAATATTCTCTTTTCCCAAAATCTGTTCCATACCCTCAATGGTCCTACCTTCTTTTGCAGTGGATCCAAAAAGACCCTGAGATCCCAGTCTCCTTGGAGAATCTGCTGCAAGCTACAGGTGAAAAAAAGAAAAAGAAAAGAAAAAAATTCCTATGAATTTTGTACACAATTAATTTCAGGAACTTCACACAAGTGTGCATGAAATGTCAAAGGCTACACAAATCTCTACAGGTCTCATCTTCTAGAGATATATTTCTCCTGAAAGTCTCCTTAGAAGCTTGGAATCATGCCACACAGCAGCTGCCTATGACCCTTAGACTCAGCACTTTATTCCAGGTGGCCTTGAGATGCCAGATCAGCCCTGAAGTTATGTTGAATGGAGAAAAGGAGAGTGAGACAGGAAAAATTGCTTATAAAAATTAGATTTTTTAAATGTTTTTTCATTTATTATGCATTTCCCATGTGCCAGACAGTAGTTTCAAGTTTTAGATGCATGACCAGGAGGTACATTTATTATTATCCCAGTTTATGAAGGAAGATAATTGATTAGTCTGTTCTCATGCTGCAATAACTGAGACTCGGTAATTTATAAAGAAAAGAGGTTTAATTGACTCACAGTTCCGCATGGCTGGAAATGCTCCAGGAAACTTACAACCATGGCGGAAGATGAAGCAAAAGCAGGTACCTCCTTCACAGGACCATGGCAGGAAAGAGACTGAGTCCAAGCAGGGGAAATGCCACATGCTTACAAAACCATCAGATCTCCTGAGACCTCACTCACTACTTTGAGAAGTGAGAAACCACCCCCATGATCTGATCAGTTCCCACTGGGTCCCTCCTATGACACATGGGAATTATAGGGATTACAATTCAAGATGAGATTTGGGTGGGGACAAGCCAAACTATATCAGCTATTATGGTACATTACAGAGGCAAGATAACTTGCCTTAAATCACACCCCTAGCAAATAAAAAACCCAAACCAGGGACGCTTATTCTCCAGGGCATCAGTTCTTACCCACCTTTATTACCAGAAAGCCTTCCATAGACCTGTACTGAAGACAGGCCTCTGTGACCTACATAGAAACAACTGGAAACCTCTGTGTTGAATATTTATACTTTAATGCACCTGGTATTTGTGCTATATACATTGTTGTCATTAAAAATGTGAAGGTAAATATTTATAAACAGCTGTTAAAGAAACTAGACTTCTGGGGAGAAATATTAAACTCAAATTGCTGCTTAAAGATTTTCTTTTAAAAATTGAAATATGCAGACTGACTCTAAATATAAACCTTCTTCCTATTGTAATTCTTCCTTTCATAGACCAGCTAAATCTCTGCTAGAATTTCAGCAATAGGTCCCCAGGAAAATGACTGCTTTGAAAAAGTTTGGCTGAAACGAGATACTACTTCTAACCTACTACAATGGCTAAAGCATACAAGACTAGCAATACCAATACTGTAATTGGACAAGATGTGGAGCAGCTGGAACTCTCAAATACTGCTGTGAGGGAAAGATAAAAGGGGCAAACACTTTGCTAAATTGTTTGGCAGTTCCTAAAAATGTTAAATTCATTCACCTACCCTATGACCCATCAATTTCACTCCTAAGTATTTATCCAAAAGGATTGAAAAGATATATCCATCCAGATAAATCTAAAAGAATATTTATTGCAACTTTATTCACAACAGCCACAAACCAATAAACAACCCAAATGTTTATCAACAGATGAGTGCATAAACAAATGGTGGTATAACCATATCGCGAAATGTTAATCACCAATAAAATGAAACAAACTACATATAGGTGCTCTGGATATATGTTCCTACATGGGCAATCTTCAAAAACTGCATTCTGAGCAAACAAAGCCAGAAGACAACTACATACTGTGTAGTTTCATTAATATGACATTAGAAAATGCAAACTGCTCTGTAATGACAGAAAGCAGATACATCAGAGGTTTCCTTCAATGAGTGGAAGATTGAAGCAAAGGGCACGAGGGAACTTGTTGCAGTGATGGACAAGATCTGTTGTTTTGTTTTGTGTTTTTCGTTTTTTTGAGAGACAGAGTCTTGCTCTGTCGCCCAAGCTGGAGTGCAGTGGCTCAATCATGGCTCACTGCAGTCTCCACCTGCCATGTTCAAGTGATTCTCCTGCCTCAGCTTCCCAAGTAGCTGGGACTACAGGCGTGCACCACCACCCCTAGCTAATTTATTTTATTTTATTTTTAGTAGAAACAGGGTTTTACTATATGTTGGCTAGGCTGGTCTCAAACCCCTGACCTCAGGTGATCCTCCTGCCTCCCAAAGTGCTGAGATTACAGGTGTGAGCCACCGTGCCTAGCCTAAGTTCTGTTTCTTGATGGGTGGTGGGTTCCATGGGTGTACTTATCTATCAAAATCCATACATCGGTAATGATAATGCAGGTATTTGAAAAAAAAATCTACATTTTATTAAGTTATACCTTTAAAAAATAACAGGACTGGAAGAAGCACAAAAACAGTTTTTCAGTGAATGTCCATCTTCATCCTTGGGAGGCTCAGCTGCCAGTGTGGCTTCCTAAGTCACAGCCCTCCCTGCGTGTTTACAGACCATGGCAGGTTGTTCTCCTGGCCCCCTCTGGTACTCAGAAGGGTGCAGGCAGGAAACAGATGTTTCTGAATACTTACTGCCCCACTTTTCCTGCTCTTTGAAGGATGCTAGGAAAAGGAGTCAATCTTTACATGCTTCCCAATTCCAAAAAGTAGCTAGGATGGCAACAATCTGGCTTGACTTCACCAATAAATTGGCAGCTTCCATTTCCTTTATTCGCTGGCCTGGTACTGGTTTAGGCTATATTTGGGAATTCCAGCTGGGGTTGGGAGGAGGTGAAAGAGGAGGGCGGTTCCCAGAAGGTGTGTAACACGCATTTTTAGTGGGGGCTCTCCTTCTGTCACTCGGATAAGCCCCTCTGGAGTTCCTGCCTCCTCCCAAGGAAAGTGTAAGCAAGACGGAAGAAAAGGTGAACAACCACAGTCTAGATAGTGAAAATGTCTCTGCCAGTTTTGCTAGGGCCCTCCAGGGCAAGTAACCCTAATGAATTTAGAGACGCTTTGGCTTGATTTACATAACAGTATTTTAAAGACTACATGATTGCTTTGGGGACTTTTCTTTTCTTTCCTCAAACTGAACTGCAGAGTTGCAAATACTCCCCCAGAGAGCCTCAGAGGAGGCAAACTTGGCAGAGGAAAGAACACAGAAAAATCTACGCCTTGCAAATGCCAAGCTTAAGAACAATCCCGTTAGCCGCCCAGTGGATGCTTTAAAGCAGGATTGGGGGTTTGGGCGGGGATCTTAAACATCATTTCGCGTGGGGAAACATACTTTCTCCTCTCCTGGAAGACAAGTCTGCATGTAGGTTTATCTCTGCCTCCTGGAGGACCTGCAGTTTTCGGGAGAGCAGCTGCAAGGGTACAGAATGCTTCACTGTGGTGGTTACGCCGCAGGCTCCGCTGCCAGGAGGCCGGCAAGCACGCGGCTCTGCGGCGGGGCAGGCTGCCAGGGCCCGGGGAGTAGCGGCAGTCTTCCTCGGAGAAGCACCTGTTCTTCCTCTCCCTGCGCGGAGAACGTGCCATCTTCCCCTACCCCATGCTGCTTTATCCTGCGTGGCTCCATTTTGTCTTTCCTGACTGCAGATGCCCCCGCGGGCTTCCTCCGGAGCACTTACGGGGCGCTGGGGGAGGGACGGCCACGTCAGGCGCACTGCTTTCCCCGACACACTCGTGCACCCCAGGTAGCAGCAGCAGCAGGTGCTGTGACATTATGACAAACACTCAGGTCCCCTGTGACTGGATGCGTCACACGCTGTGTCTAACAGTCGCTGACATCTCATCAATCACGGCCTTGATTATGCTGCTGGGGTCCCTGGGCTCAACTTTGGGCTCCAAACAGAATTTACTGCAAACTGAACATCCTTATTTCCAACGCAGGCAAGCCTGTCTTGTTTAAAATGGCATAATCCAGCTGGAAGATCACACTGGATCTCTCAAATTAGCCCATCTTTTCTCTTGTCAATATTGCAATTAGGTGCTCATCCGGCACCAGAAATTGCTGGGACATATTTCTCTCCTGCACTCTCCCACCGTTTATTACAACTGAAGGACACATTTTGTTGTCCCTGAGAGTGATGTATTTGAGGGAAGGCTGTGACTCAGTGTATGACAATTAAAGAGGAAAGGACATTGGTAATGATTAACTAGCTTGTCTACATGATGTGAGGCTGTTTATCAACTAACATTGATTGAGCCAATAGTCTGTGACCAGTCATGTGTGAGACTCTACAGGGAAACACAGGTAGGAAAAAAAATGATTATTGCTCAGGAGAGCCTCAAAATCTAGTTGATGGAATAATTGTGCAAATGTTTAGGCAGCAAAATATTCACCACTCTTCTTTGCCTAGTAACAAAGACAGTCTAGAGCTTGACCACAGTGCATAGATCTTCTCATGTTTTCCTAGACTGGTTCACTTCCTTTCCCCAGAATATTCCCTGCATTATCTTCCTTCAGAAATAGGCTGATGGCATTGTTCCAAGCTGAGGCCCCACTCCTCATGTATTTCTCTAAATCCAGGTCAGCAAGTTTTTTACATACAAGATCAAATAATAAATGGTTTAAACTTTGTGGACCAAGAGGCAAAATGGAGCAACTGATATTGCTGAACAATTAATAACCTTTTTTACACTTTACATTTAAGAATGAAGAACAACACTCTTAGTTCATACACCATACAGAAATAGGTAGTGGGCTGGATTTGGCCCAAGGTCCATAATTTGCTGTTTCCTTATCTAAATCCTATTTGTCTTTTAAGATCCAGCTCAAACCTCAGATGCTATGTGAAATATAGTTGATACTCCCCATCCAAAAGTCTCCTTCCTCTTAGGGATGTCCAATTTATACAATTTGTCTAGTAGGTATTCTTGTATTTATTTATCAGGTAGTATGGTAAAAGAAGGAAGAATATACATTTTTAAATCAAACAGAGTAATGTTCAAATTCGGATTTTTGAACTTACAGCTGAGTGACACTCTGAAAACTACTTAAATTATCTGATTCTTGGTTTTCTTATCTGTTCAGTTGGTAAAATATCATATTAATAATTTACACAGAACATTATTATGAGAAAATACATCCAAAATGTTTCTGTGTGTTAGCTGTTAGTTTTTAAATTTTCCTTACCTAGATTATCTAAAATTATTGACATAAAACATATACCTCCTTTATAGTACAAAGATTTTATTTATCTAATTCACAGGGCTATGGGCATGAAATAAAATGCTATGTTTGAAATGTCGTAAAACCTTGGTAAATATTATATTTATCTCTTCACAGATTTTTTTTCTATATCCTCATCAGGAAAATGTCTTATATTAGAAATTAAATTGTATTTTCCTTAAGGACAAATATATATCATACATACCCTTTAAGTCCTCCACGATGCTCAGTTAAGACCTGATATTTGGCAGGTGGTAAGAATTATTTATTAATTTAAGTGATACTTAAAGTGCTTTTATAATAAAACTTTTCAAAAGAATTTTCTCTGTTTATTTCTATCTGATCACCCTACTCCTCAATCTAATTCAATCTGTCTTCTCTCCGCAACACTCAATCAACTTCCATGTCTCTAAATCCGGTGAATATATTTCAGGGCTTATCTTATTTGACTTTTCATCAGCACTGGATTCAAACACTCCCCTTTTTTTTTTGACACCTGATCCCTTTTTAATTTCATGACTGATCTATAGGCTTCCTCTTAATTCTCTTCTGTTTCCATTCCTATCTCATTTGCATGATCATCCTCATTCGGAAACAATTAACCATCAGCATTTCTAAAGACACAGTCCTTACTGTTGTCTCTCTATGCTTTCCATGTATGACTGTGGTTTCAGATAACACCTACACACAAATTCATCACTACATTTAAACTCTGGCCAAGAATTCTTCTCTAAGGTCTAGCTCAATCATGTCACTCAAAGGCCCCTGAAAGTCAACACAAGCAAGACGAAATCCAGGATCATGGTGATCGCTCATCTCCATCACCCAAAACTAATTTTCCTCACAGTTTTCTATCTCAAAATAAGGTGTCCCCATTCTTCCTCTCAGACAGGCTACAAACCTGATACTTATTCTGAACACCTCCCTCTGCCTCATCCCAATATGTAATCACCAAACTCTGCAGATTTAGTCTCTTAAATAACTCTTGAATTCCTTTCACTCCCTTTTTATCATGGTCAATGCCACCATCACAGATCAGCAAGAGTCATCTGATGCCTACAAACTGTACTAGCTTACCTGTGCTTCCTCTGATTCTCCCTAATCTGTCCTCTACTCTACAGAATGATGTTCTTACAATGCAAAAAAAAAAAAAAAAAAAAAAAAAAAAAAAAAAAAATCCACATTTGATCACATGACCTTCACCCTTACCCTTTGTATCAATTTTTTGTCAATCCTGAGGGACATTTCCCCTTAACTCCAGCTTTTACAGTTATAACCTCAAAGTGGTCCATCCTTCTTCTGAGTTGTTGTCTCAGCATGTAATTAATCACTCAGCAGGGTAATTATTTGGTAGTTTATCTCTCCTGCTAGCATCCTTGAGAGCACCTAATTGTACCTAGGTATACTGATGATTGAAACTCAAACCTGGCACAGTGGTTGGCAAATAAGCACTCAATCAACATTTGTGCCATGAAAAATGGATGAGCATATTGGAAAGGATGGCTGGAAGAATTTGACCACCAAAACTCTCTGGGTTCTATGAAGAGTCAACCATCAACCAGTTTTTTAAGCTGGAGTACTAATGTCTTTCAGCAATGGGTTATTTTGGGACTTCTAACCTTCACTGTCCATTCACACAATGCTTTTTGGCAAATCATTTGGCCTATCATGTTATAATGTCAGTCCCTTTAGATGTAAGATGCAGAGACCCATCCAGGTGAACCTAAGTAATTAAAATTGATTACAAAAATCACATGGAAATAAACAACATAAAACTTTTATGAGTTTCTATCAAGCCATTTTACAAAATAACAGAATTAAAAGGCTATTTGGCATCAGATCACCTGGGTGGTCCTTCATTTTTGTGAGGCAGGTACTGTCTGAGACCTGATGCTCTGAAGGTGACTTCTACTCTAGTTACCAGTTGATTGTTCCAGCTATGTCTCTTGGCTAACATGCTTATTTATGAGACAGAATCTGATCATCCCAGGTGGTGACCACTTGGCCTGCTCAGATAGCCATCACTCAGCCAAAGGGCTGCTGGCCATTGAATCAAGTCTGTATAAACCACAGGGAGTGAGAAGGGGAACACAGATCTAAAATTGGCCTCAGCTTCCATAGAGACACCTTGGACCTACTTCCCTCAGAAAGTGCTTCTAGGGCTTCATCCAGATCTCTTCTTGGAGGCCAGAACATCTAACTCCAACATGCTTTTGACGTCAGCTGCCAGATACACACCTGCATCCTTCTCCAGAGAACTGCCCTTAGCTATCAGAAGTGAATTTCTTCAGAACAATTGATTTAACAGCACAGGGCCCTTAATTCTGAGTTTGAAAATCTAGTATCTCACAAAAACAGGAAGACAAGTCACAGATGGGGAGAAAAAAAATTGTAAATGACGTATCTGGCCAAGGACCATTATCCCAAATATACAACCAACTCTTAATATTCAACAATAAAAAAATGAACAACTCAATGAAAAAAAAAATGGGGGAAAGACCTGAACATACATCTCACCAAAGAGTATCTACAGAGGGCAAATAAGAGTATAAAATGTTTGACCTCATGTGCCAGTACAGGTTGTAAATTAAAACAACAATGAGATATACCGCTACATACCTATTAGAATGGCTAAAATCCAAAGTGCTAATAACATCATATGCTGGTGAGGACGTAGAGCAACAGGAACTCTCATTCCTTGCTGAAGGAAATGCAAAATGGCACAGTCATGTTGGAAGACAATTTGGTAGTTTCTTACAAAACTAAACATAAACTTGCCATATGATCCAGCAATCATGCTCTATGGTATTTGTCCAAATGAGCCAAAAACTTATGTGCACACAAAAACCTGCACATAGATGTTTATAGCAGGTTTATTCATAATTGCCAAAACTTGCAAGCAACCAAAATGCCCTCCAGTAGGTGAAGGGGTAAATAAACTATGGTACATCCGACATGGAATATTATTCACTGCTAAGAAGAAATGAGCTACCAAGCCATAAAAAATATGGAGGAAACATAAATGCATATTGCTAACTGAAAAAGCCAATCCGAAGAGGCTACACACTGTATTATTCTAACTGTATTACATTCTGGCAAAGATAAAACGATGGAAACAGTAAAAAGATGAGTGGTTCTCAGGGGTTGGGGAAAGAGAGAAATAAATAGAGCTCAAAGGAATTTTAGAGCAGAGAAAATATTTTGACTTTATAATGGTAGATACATGCCAATGTGAACACTAATGCAAACTACAGACTAGGTGATAATGATGCGTTAGTGTAGATTCATTGATTGTAACAAAAGAACCATTTTGGTGTAGGATGTTGACAGTTGGGTAGTTTGTGCATGTGTGTACAGGGGTGTACATAGAGACTTTCTATACTTTTTGCTCAATTTTGCTGTGAATGTAAAACTTCTCTTACAAAAACAAAATCTATTAAATAAAAACTCTGAGGCCA